GGCACAGCAGTGCCTTTGCCTCCTAAGGTGCTTCAATTAGCTGCTAAGCTGCCCTAGAGAGGGTCTGAAGGGTTTTGTAAAGCTCAGTGTTGCAAAACAAAAGCTTGCAAAAGTGAAGTTTACGTGCTGGTCATGCCCCGCTGAGAGCGCAAGCCAGAGATTGACTGGCACCCACACCCACAAACGGCAGGGATACAGCTGAAGCTTCTAGTTACGAGATTTCTCACCACAACTTGATGCAATCACAAGGTTTTAGCCACAAAAAAAAAAAAAAAAAAAAAAAAAAGAAAAAGCTTCCTCCCTTCTTGTGATCAGGTATCTCCATAGCTGCAGGTTATGGAGAGTACTGAGAGTACAGCTCTCTCTGAGGAGAGCGTATCACCTCCATCACCTCCTCTCCTTAGGGAGGCAAAGGTCTGGGCATCGCAGATTAAACGCAAATCCAGGGCTTCCCAAGTCCTGCTGRGCTCATAAGCAATCAATAATGCAACAAAAATTTCCCTATTTGGGCTATTTTCCCCTCAGAGGAGATCAAACTACCCCTTTCATTATCCAATTTCCTTCTATTTTCCTCTTTTCCCCCAGGCTTATATTAGCTCTCCCTGTCCCACCTGGAGCTGGGAGCCTCACACCTGGGTGCTGTTTGCCTGGGTTTTGAGCCCTGTGCTCTTCCAGGCTGCCTCCCCATCCCTCCTCCCCACACAGTGCTTGGGAGCACCAGCATTTCCCTCCATCCTAAATACCAGTCTCCTCTTGATCCCACCTCTGTTCCCTGGATGTGTCACAAAATGTCACTTGAAAAYTGGCCCAGATTACTCAGGATCTAAGCCCTGTGTCTCTAGGGAAGGAGCAGCAGGTCTTGCCCTGCACAGTGCCCACGTGCGGGAGAAAAGCCAGTCTCGCGGGCGACCAACCCGGCTTTCCCCAGCATAACAGCAATTTCTTTTCCTCCTTTCTCTGTCTCCCGGGGACCCAGCGCTKCCCCGGACCCGAAGCACCAGCTTTAATCCAGTCCGACCCATACGGTGGTGGGTGATGCTGGCAATGCCTGAGCTGGGCTCTGCAGCACAAGAGCTGCCCGGGAGGCTGTCAGCACCCCAAAATAACCCCCCAAACAGCCACGGCCCCCTGCCACCTCGGCAGAGCCCGCGGCGGGCGCTTACCCCACGTGGCCGCYGCGATGCCCAGGTAGCAGATGCCTCGAGAGCCGAGAGCCCAGGTCCGTGCGGCGCGGCGCTGCCCCATGGCCGTGCCCTGCGTGCCAGGGAGAGAGGCGTGAGCGGCACCCCGTGCCCGGCCACCTCCGTGCCCAGCCGCCCCGCTTCTCCCGGGGGGGTTTCTGTCCCGCGTGTGCCGGGCACAGCCGTGGCACCCGCCGCGCTGGCCGTGCGCCGGGCGCCGCTGCGAGCGCTTCCTCCGAGCACAGCCTCCCCCCGCGCCGCTTCCCCTTCCCGGCCCAGCCCCGCGCCCGGGGCTGTCCTGCCCGCTGCCCTGGCACCGCTCCCATGGGCACCCATCCCGCTGGCACCTCCCGTGGGGCACCGACCCCGCTGCCGCCTCCCGGGGGTCTCCGTGTCCTCCAGGAGGTGGGCTCGGTGCTTGTCCCAGGATGGAGCTCCTGGAGGCGGCTCCTCCTCAACGCGAGCCTCTTGCTCTGCCTCTGAATTTTCATATTTTACCGTTTGCAAAGAACTAGTTGCACAATGTGTTTTCCTGTCTCCTGAGCCTTTATTTGAAGGGTCTAATCGCAGGACAGAACTTCCCCCCAGTTGTTAATAGTCTTTATGGACTTCCACCAACGCTCTAGGAACGTTCCCCCATTGTGTCCATCTCCTCTGGGATCATTGCAGAATCTTCATAAATCTTCTTTTTACCCTATTCTTCTTTTAAACTGAATTTCCTTGGCAGGGTTTTCTGCCGGGATTATTCTGCTCACTTCCAGCTAAAGTGGCAGCGCAAACTCCTCAGGTCACGTGTATTTCCCGGTTCCAGAGAAATTAACGGTGCTCCAGCGGGAGCAACACGAGACAAAAGGAGGAACCCTTCCCACAAGATCTGTAATCTCCTGCAGTGAGTTTATACTTGGCCAATATAAATCAAATTCAGTTCCTGTCTCTGGCAGTCTCCCTTGCGATGGGTTTTAGTGCAATTGCCCCTCTGCGTGGCAGTGCGTGCCCAGCAGGGCAGAAGCACTCGTGCCAAGCAGAGGGCAGCCCTGGATGAGAGGGAAGCAGGCAGCTCCCCATGGAAAAGCTGCCCTGGGGCCGAGCGGGGGCCCCCGGGCCGGCTGGGAGCTGCGGTCGCGCTGCAAGGTGTGCCGGCCCTGTGTGCCCACGGGGCACAGGAGGAGAAAAATAAGCTGTGCCCCTGGCAGTTTCACTTCTGCTGCGAGGAGAGGAGAGGTTTTTTACCAGCTGTAATTTCTGGTGTTGTTTTCAAAGTGCAAACGAGGTGCCCGAGTCCCAGAGCTGCTGTTGCACGGGGCCAAGTGCCAGGGCTTAGCGAGGGAAAAGGGACCATCAGCATTGTCCCGCTGGGCTCAGCTCTGCTGCTCGGCAAGAATCGGAAGCACTCACTGCTGCTGGGAAGCAGCAGCCCCTGGATCCCCGGRCTCGTGCCCGTGGGGCTGACCCTCTGCTCCGGGCACTCCAAGGCGGGTGGGAAAGGGCTTGGTGCAGCAGAAGGCAGAGGCACCAGCTGCACCAGCTCTGCAGCCCTGCCTGCCCGGGGAGCAGGTTAGGTACTTGGGAAGGGAGCTGGGTGCCCAGGGAGCGGGTTAGGTGCCCAGGGAGCAGGTTAGGTACTCAGGGATGGGGTTAGATACACGCAGAACAGCTAAGTTGCCCAGGGAGCAGGTCARGTGCCCAGGGAGCAGGTTAGGTACTCGGGGGGCAGGTTAGGTGCCCAGGGTCCTCCCTCACCCCCAGTCTCCCCAGTCTGCTGCCCAGGGAAGGCTCCAGCTGGCCGTGGGGCACGTKCCCCCCGCTGCAGGGCCGCCCGGCCTCGCTCGCCCTGCTTTGGGCAGCGGCCGGTCCCACGGCGGCGCGGCGCATTCCCCCTTGTGCAACGCGCCCCTGCAAACCGCACAGGAACCCAGTCACCCTGACACCGCCTCGCTGGGCCGGCTGCAGCCGGCGATAGCCCGGGCGCCCTTCCTGGGCCGCCCGTCGGAGAGACAAGGGGTCCGATCCCCGGCTCCCGCCGCGGGTGCTGCCTGGCGCGGAGCCGCTGCCGCCCGCACCGCGTGTGCCCCCGGCGCCACGTGCCTGCCACGGAGGAGCCTGTGCCAAACAGGATGCGGGCGCGTGGGCAGCGCCGGGGCTGTCGCGCTGCTGGGTGGCACGGGGTAAACAAGGGGCTCTGCCCTGCGGGGAACCCCAGGCCGCGGTGCCCGTGCCCGTCCCCACGAGCCCCCTGTCCCTCCCATCGCGCCGTGTCCCTGCGCCGCGCTCCCTGTGGCTCTCCGTGTCCCCGCGTGGGGCTGGGGCTCCACGCCAGCCGGGTGTGGGGCATCACAGCAGCCTGCCCAGGGCGGGCAGGTGAGGAGCATCGTCAGCACGGGGAGTCTCGTCTCCATCCAGAGCTGGCCCTCATGGAGCAAACAACGTCCTCTTCTCCAGCCAGGAAATCCTGAGGCAGCCCCTCTGGCGCTCGCTAAGGGCCGTTGTGTTTCCCCCGATGCTGCGAGTATCCGGGAGGAGGTTCTTCACCTCTTGGCAGTCCAGGGCTGAGCTTTCCTCTTCTCGTTGGGCCTGGCAAACACGCTGCCTTGTGCTTTCTGACCCCTCTTTCTGAGCAAGCAGCAGTTTTGCGTCTCGGGCTCTTGGCCATCTTTCTGCTGCAAGTAGCACCATGGCCTACGACTTACCAGCCTTTATTTAAATTGCTGATTTGCTTTCCTGCAGGGAGGATGTGGTTTTACTTTGCCTCACACTTTCCTAGCAGATCTATAGGTGAGGCTGATGCAGGAGACATTGGAGACGGTCTTCTGCCCGAGGCACCTTCGCAGGCTTGTGGAGGCACTTCTGGGCACGCTGGGGGATCCAGGGATGCGGAGGCATCTCTTACTGGGACATTCCAGGGTCCTGCTGCGTGACCGCCTGGTTTGGACAGGAGCCTCGTGAAGTACAACCAGGGTGGCTGCGCTCGTAACACGTGGGGACACGTGGCTGTGGGGAGGTTTTGGGGCTGTCGGACTGTGCCCTACTGCTGCCAGCACCTATGGGGCTTCGCTGCTTGGCTCGTTGCCTTGCCTCTGCTCCGAAAGCGACCGCGTCGCCCTGCCTGGCCGAGGAGGGGCCTGACAGGGATGGGAGATGTGGAGATTGGGCCCCCATGGGTGCCAGATCCTGCTGTGCCGAGTCCTGCTGGTCCGTGGGGCTCCTCACACCTGGGCTCCACCTGGGTGCCAGGCCAGACTCGAGCGTTTCACACTGTCTCCCCACTGACGTGCATCTCTTTGAACTGCTGAAATTGCCTCTTTTTCACAGTTTTGATTTTTGGGGCAATCCCTACAAGAAAAAAAAAAAAGAAAAGAAAAACCTAAAATAAAAAGAGAGGACCATATTCCTAACATTTTGTTGCCACTTTGAAATTGCTTCCTCCTCTTCCATATTCTACCATTGGTTTAGGAGCCAGATGGCTACAAACACCAGTTTAACTGTGTTTTGGCAATGGACGGAGAGACACCAGCTTTTTGATTGCTGAGCAGAAAAAACAAAAAGGCTTTCTTGCACCATTCTCCACATTTTCTCTAGGAGATACTAAGAAAAGMGTGAATGCTTTCCTAGCTTTTTATTTCTGATTTTTTGCAAAAGGAAAATCGCTGTTTTGCAGAGAAGCCCTTGAGATGCCCTTACCAGTTCCAAAAGGCTGGGSTGTCCCTGGCTTTGCTGCGGTCGGGCTGTCCTAGCGCGAGGTCCACGCTGTCGCAGMGCCGTGTCCTTGGGCCGATGTCCCCCGCGTGGCCGCCGCAGGCTCTCGGCAGCCCCGGGTGGACGTCACGCTGCGGGCACGCGAAACCTTCCTGCCACACGGGAGCCAGGAGCGCGCCGGCGCTCCGGGGACATCCTCCCATGGGGACAAGGGGTCCCGTGCAGGGATGCCCGCTCCGCGTGGGGGACCGCGGGCGCCGCGGGGGGCCGCGGGATGGCGGCCGGCACCGCGTTGCTCTCCACGATGAGGCGGATGAGGTCGGCGCCGGGGAAGTCCATGATGACGACGCCCCAGCGCGCGGGCCGCCCCGCGCGGCGCTGCAGGTGCGCGTGGCAGCGGGGGTTCACGAAGCGCGCCACGGCCGCGGGGCACGTGAAGAGGCCGTTGCCCGAGCAGAAGGTGAGGTGCAGCGTGCCGGGCTGCCCGCCGGCCGCCGCCTCCAGGTGCTCTCGCACCTGCGCCCACTTCCGCGCCAGCGAGAGCACGTTCCAGGCGTCGCCGACGCTCAGCCGCTGGTAGGGGATGCCCAGCACGTGGTGCCGCAGCTCCTCCAGCACCACGATCTTGCCCCTCACCTGGCCCAGCGTGGGCACCTCCTCGCGGCACCACACGCGCCCCTCGCCCTCCTCGGCCAGGTGGCGGCGGAGGCGGGCGGCGAAGCCGGCGCGCGCCGGCAGCGGCGCCTCCTCCTTGATGCGCAYGAGCACGGCCTCGGCGGGGTGCGCGCGCAGGAAGCGCAGCGTGCGCCGCAGCACTCCCGCCAGGCTGGCGCGCTGGAAGGCGCACAGGTGGTAGACGAGGAGCTGGCCCCGCTCCAGCTTGCAGCGCACGTCCAGGAAGCGCACGCCGGCCGCCAGCTGCGCCTCCAGCCCCCAGCTCTGGCAGCGCAGGCGCCGGCTGCCGAACAGGCTCAGGGAGTCGTGGGTGCCGGGCACGGAGAGGCGGGAGAGCGGCAGGGCGTCAGGCAGTGCCGACATCCAGTCGGGGCGGCAGGCGGCGGGACGGGGCGAGCAGTCGAAGGCGGCGGCGACCGCCTCCTCCATGGCACAGCTGCGGTGCGGGAACAGCCCCGTGGGCATCACCCCCTCCAATGTCCCCGCTTCGCAGCCCTCCCTGCCCCTGTCCTCCCCGGGCACCCACCGAGTCCCGCGCGCTTCCCACCTGGATGTGGCTGGCTCCAGTGCTGGGCGGGAAGCGGGGCCCGCGGCGGGCGCGGGCTGCGCACTGGTGGCCTCGGCAGGATGCTGGCCATTAACTGGGGCCCGTCATGGGGCCCGTCACACCCCCGTGTGGGGCACGCGCCCCAGAGAGTCACCCACCGGCYGCGCAAAGGAATGTGCTTGGCTCGTGAGCCGGCCTGGAGATCGCCTGCCGGAGGGAGGCAGCCGTGGGGCACCCCACCTCCCTCCCCAGGAATCAGGGCAAACTGGATCCAGTGCCCGGCTCCGCGGGGCTCCTTTGCCGATGCTGCAGACCCAGGGCCGGGAGCCCAGTGCCAGGGMAGGGATGAGCGGGGATGTTGGCACATGGGACTGCCCCGAGTAGCTTGAGCCCCATGGGACACCAGTGCTCGCAGGGTGCCACGCTCCTCGGTGGCTGCTCGATGCCAGAGTCACGGCGAGGCTCTGTGCTTGGGAGGGCACGGGCGCCTCGCGTGGCCCGGACGCTGTGGTTAGAGCCCCGAGGCCATGGCCAAGGTCAGAGCCCATGCGCCTGACTCACATCCTGCGCAGGGGCAGCCACCGCAGTCCCTCCTCTGCCCTCGTCCACCCATTCAGCGTCCCAATGGGGCTTAGGCCCCTCCAAACTCCTCATCCTGGGGGGCTGAGCAGAGGAGCAAGGTGGAGGGAAAGGACAAGGCATCTGCCTGGGTGTCCGTGTGCCCTTGCAGCATTGCATGGCTGAGGAGCTCAGGGGAAGCTCTGGAGCTGCCCTGCTCCAACCCCCTGCACCAGCAGGGCCACCTAGAGCAGTATATCCAGCACCATGACTAGTCAAATTTGAGCATCTCCAAGGATGGACACACCCCTACCTCTCTGGGAAACCCTCTCCTGCATTGGCTGTATTTACAGTGGTTTTTTTCTTATGTTTAAGTAGAATTTCCTGCATTTCAGCTTGTATCCGCACATCTGTGTGTCACTGGATATGCCTGAGCAGCCTCATGTGGGAAGTGCTCCCACCTCTCTCTCTAGGGCACGGCCCTTCCCTGGGCTCCCGCCAGGACATTCCTGTCCCCCTTGCAGCGGGGTCCCTGCTGGGGCCTCCCCAGCACCGAGCAGAGCGCCGGGATCCCTGTCCCTGCTGGCACGGCAGCCGGGGACAGCCCCGCGGCYGCAGATCCAGTCAGGGCAGCGCCGGCGCTTCCAGCTTCCCGTTCCGCGCGTCACCCACGCGCCGCCGCCCGGCAGGACAGGACGGAGCGGGAGCCRCGGGGCCGGGCGAGCATGGCGGCGGGCGGCGGGGCGCCCCGCGGCTCCTGCTTCGTGCTGGGCGCCACGGGCGAGACGGGCCGGGCGCTGCTGCGGGAGCTGCTGGCCCGGCGCCTCTTCGCCCGCGTCACGGCCATCGGGCGCCGCAAAGTGGACCTCGGCGCGGAGAGCGCGGCCGCCCTGGTGCCGTGGGGAGCGGGGGCGCCTGCGGGTGGTGTGGGAGCTGGGGGGGCTCTGGGAGTGTGGGGGGCACGGGGGGAGTGTGGGATCAGGGGTGCTGGAGGGTGCAGGGACTTTGCAGGGGGGTGATACAGGGGGGTTCTGGGGGTAACGTGGGATCAGGCAGATCCTGGAGGACATGGGGGCTGTACGGGATCAGGATGCAGGACTGGTGGTGAGGAGGGTCCAGAGTTGGGGTGGGGGGGCATCCTGGGGGACAGAGGGTGGTTCCTGGAGGTTCCTGGGGTGATGCAGGATCAGGGGTGCAGCCCTGGGGGTGAAATGTTATTGGGGAGGAGCTGCTTGGAGAGCACGAGGGCAGCGTGGGATCAGGGTGGGATCAGGAGGGGTGGAATCAGAGGGGGATCTGGAGGTGTGGGGTCCTGGGTGCCCACGCACTGGGACAGAGCAGGGCAAGGCCAGACCCTCCCAGCCCTGCAGCACCCAAAGGTGCCGAGGGGCACCTGGAGCCCCGGGCACACGTGCCAGCCGGCGTTGTTCCCGCAGGAGGAGGTGGTGGTGGACTTTGAGCGGCTGGACGAACACGCCGCCGCCTTCCAGGGCTACGATGTCGGCTTCTGCTGCCTGGGCACCACGCGGGCCAAGGCTGGCGCGGTGAGTGGGCGCTGCACGGGGAGCTCGCTGCTGTGCCCCCAGCCGTGTGGGGTGCCACTCGAGGAGACGATTCACCCGCTGGGGTGTGGGGTTTGCCACCCCAGGGAAGCACCTATGGGGCGGTGCATTCAGCTCTGAGAGGCGGTGCTGGATGTAGCACCAGGGTGGGCACCCCCGGCTGCACTGATCCCGTTCTCCCGCCCTGCCCACAGGCCGGCTTCATCCGCGTGGACCGGGACTACGTGGCGCAGGCGGCAGAGCTGGCACGGGCCGGGGGCTGCAAACACTTCGTGCTGCAGTCCTCCCAGGGCGCCAACGAGCACAGCAGCTTCCTCTACCTCCGGGTGAAGGTGAGGCGGGAACTCACAGGAGTCTGGCCGTGCCAGGCGCTTGGGAATGAAGCAAGAGCTGAGGCTGCAAAAGGGTCAAACGGCTCTGGAGTCCTCCAGGACTTGGGAAGCAAAACACTAGGAATGAGGCTGGCAGCACCTGCCTTATCCTGAGGACCAAAGCATCCTTCTGTCTCTTGGAGCCTCCAGAAAGCTCTAGGTGCAAGAGACCCTCTAGGGTCTCCAGCCCAAACCCTGCTGCTGCATCCCCAGGACAGCCTCTGCATTTAGCTTTCCTGTGCCCTGTTGGGATCCCTCCAGCAATCCTGCCCTCCAGTTTAGTAAGTGGCCTCTTGGCCAGAGGTGTCAGACCAGCCAGGACCATCTGCAGCTCTTCCTTTGCTCACCTCCCCGAGGCTCCTCTTCCCTGCGTGAGGGGCCTGTGTTACCTGGGGCTTGAGCAACCCTTGTCCATGACTTGCTCTACATTTCTGCTCTCCTCCCCCTTGTTTACTCTGTGCATTTTCTCGTCCAACCCCCTCTCCCAGGTTTACTTGGGCGTGTTTTGCAAGCAGGATTGCATGCACTTTGTAAGTACATAGCAATTATCTGCTAGTGATTAGGCACAGGAGGCTGCAGCGCTTAAGGCACTAGGAGGTTAAGCACTGAGGCTCTTACAGGTCCTCACGAGACACCCAATAAGTCTCTGGCAGGCAGGTGACAGTCACCTGGGGAAGGGTGAGCCACCGCTGCTCCTTGGCTACCGACCTTACTGAGATGCTCCCCTTATTCTCTTTTCTCGTTTTATGCCAGTGCTATCTCCTAGGTTACCATCACCAACTCCACAATTCCCCTTAGGTCTTTATTTTTRCCTTTTCCACCTTACGGATCCACGAGCTAAAGCCATGGAGCTCAGCTGCAGCAAAGCTGAGTCCGAGCCCTGCGGCTGATGTGTGCACATTGCTGCAAGCCACCCGGGGCTCCCCAGGGCTTGGATGTGGTTCCAGCCACTTGCCTCGCACAGTGACCGCTCTCCCCGCAGCTCCTGGGGCAGCAGGCATGGGGCTCGTGGTCACCCTTGTCTTGTTTCATCCTGCCTCACCGCTCGGACAGGGAGAAGTGGAGAACCTGGTCCAGGCTGTTGGTTTTGATCGCTGTACCATTCTCCGGCCGGCGTGAGTAGCGCTGCAAGAGGGAGGGCGCAGGACTCGGGTGGAGGGGGGCGAGGGCAGGGGAGATGGACAAAGGGCCGGGATACAGAAGGCAGTGTCTGGGGAGGCAGAGGAGAAGGCAGCCACGTGCAAGCACTGCTCCCGGCTCAGTGCTCCCCTTGCCCGCTGCTGCGGGGAGCAGCTTCTCCAGGCCCTTCCCAAAGGTGAGGCCACATGCGCCACACTGCGACAGATCCCAAGGGGAAGAAGAGTTTGTGGGACAGAAGTCCTACCTTAGCTCTGCACAGAGCTTGACCTTCTGCAGAGGGACCTCCTGCCTGCCCCGTCTCCCCCACAGCACCCCAGGCTCAGCCTGCTCCCGCTCCAGGACCCTGCAGCAGCCCCTTCTGGGGCCCCACACGGTTTCAGCGAGCAAAGCCGGGCTTYCCAGCGCAGCTGGAGGTCTGGGCTGCGAGCTGCTCTTGGGGCCGCCCTACCAGCCTGACTTGCCCTACCTCCCGGCTCCGCAGGGTGCTGCTGTGCGCACGCCAGGAATCCCGGCCGGCAGAGTGGGTTGCCCAGCAGTTCTTCGGCCTCGTGGCACGCGTGTTCCCCACCGCTTACTCGGTTCCCGTGAAGACCGTGGCGAGGGCCATGGTGGCCTGCGTGCTGAAGCCGGGCAAGGGCAAGGTGGAGGTGCTGGAGAACAAGGCCATCCATCAGCTGGGAAAGGAAGAGCCACAACAGGGCGCAGAGTGAAAGGGAAGGGCAGGAGAGCATGACTCACCTTCCAGGCGCTCTTCTGGGCCACGGATGGATGCAGGCACGGGTCTTACATGGCTATTGCGATGGTAGAGAGGTGTTTCTTTGCATGGCAGGTAATTCTCTTGAGTGATCTAGAAATGCAGGTGCTGGCTGGTGGGTGAGGAAAATTTGTGTTTGTGTTAAGTGCTTCCTGGAGCTGGYGTGCGAATTTAGGTAAAAACTGGATGTAATCAGAGCAATTTCTTCAATTTGGTGGACAAATAAAATCCTGTGACTGGTCTCTCTGTGTCAATTTTGTATTGAATTGTTTGTTGCCCGCACACCGCTGATGCCTTTGGATCTGTTCACAGACTGTCCGCTGTGTCACTTGGTCGCCTGACAAGGACACATAGCTGGGGTTTGTGTCCATACCGTGGAATGATGCAGGATAACAGAGAGCAGCACCTTGCAATGCCCRTGGAAGCACCACTACAGCTTGGTTGATGGAGCTCTTGGAAACAGGTACCTGTGGAACGTGCCTTGGGCCCTGGTGGCAGTAGGTCCCTGCAGACACACAGCGTATTTGAGCTCACTCTTCTGCTCCAGCAACACTGCTGATGGCATCAGAGCTGTTTCTTCAGRAGCTGTTATTTCCCCGTAGTATAAACCCCGCATGAACAGTGGTGCTGCCTTGAAATCCTCTGTCACTGCAGGTTAAGCTGGGCTTCCCTTACAGCCTCAGTGGAGCAGAGCTCAGCTCTGTTACCAGGGACACTCACCCTGAGACGAGCCATGCACATGGCTCCAGGCAGGGCCATTCTCACCCACCTTGCTCGTCACTAAAGGCCCTGTTCACTCTCTTGAGGAAAGACAAAGCTGATGAGGAAGCTCTTGTGATGTGTTCAGGTCCCCTAGAGCCACACAGGTCTGGTGATGCTGGGCTTCTTGCTGGCAGGATTCTCTGGGGGATACCAGGCGTTGAACTCCATGGCGTTTGGCACGGTCAGCATTGACATTAGGAGTAGCTAGTGAAGCATCCCCTTGGTGGCACGGGCTGGGCCGTGGGGTGGAGCAGCGTCGCGCACAGCGGGAGCGGAGAGCAGCGCTGCGGCCCGGCCCCGGCCCCGCGCGCGGCCCCGGCCGTTCTCAGGCCTTTGCGCCTCACGGGTCATGGAACTTGGCGGCCGCACAGCGGAGCCGCGGCCGGGCCGGGCCACTTACGTGACTCCCCAATTCCCAGCTGGCCCGAGTCCCAGCGCGCCGGCTCGTTCTGCTTTCCAGGGTTTTCTCCTCTTTGACCTCGCCTGTGTCTCCAGTGTCAGTGACTTGGAAGCGGCGAGCCCGGGTCCCTGGTCTCCTCGGATCCTACGCAGGCGCTTTAAGCACCCAGGCTGGTACCTCCAGATCTGCAGCTCAGTGCAAGGAGGGCTCCGTGGTGGGATAACTACATTTGGGGAGCAAAGGGAGCAAAGCCACGTCCCAGAGCGACTCCCAGGCTGTACACAGGGCTTAGCCCGCAGAAGAGCCAACGAYGGGACACTGAGCAATAACCCTGATGGGGCTGTCCTAGCGGGAACAAAAGTAGCACCTGGGAAAAATATTTAAATTACAAAAGAGTAATGAGAGGAAGGGTAGTCAAATGAAGCAGCTGAGGGGTATTCAAGCTTGTGTGCAACAGGAAGGCTGTTTAAACATGCAGTATTAGATTACATAGGCGTAAATGCACGTCTGAACAAAAGGTAATGAATAGGAGAGTGGAAAGAAACACTTGAAATGACAAGTTTTTAAAAGAAGTGGGAATTGTATACAGACAAGGGAACAAAAAGAGAACGCACGCTCTGGAAAGCCACACGTACACGGCAGGCCACAAAAGATTTGAGGAAAGCATCCCGAAGGCATAAAAAATTAATCATGACTACGTGAGAGGCAGAAAGCTTTCCAGAGAGCCACACGGGACGGGGCATGATCAGATTATGCGAGTGTGAAAGAGCCATTGCAGAAAAGCTAAATGAATCATTTGTACCAGCCTTTGCTGTCAAGGAGCTCACACTAGCATCGTTCCTTAGAGAGCACGTGTTTGCAGGGCTGTCGCAAAGCAGCAGGAGAAGAGATTTTAACTACATTTTTAGAGCATATAGGGGGGAAAAAAAAGGAAAAAAATGAAAACACAACTGCCAGCACCAGAAGGAACTCCTGGATAAACTAGCAAATATTCACTCAGGCAAGTGTTGCACAGATCCTCCTACCAAATGCTATTATTATTCAGATTGTTATTAATAAGATGCTCATTTTTAAAAAGTTCCAGTGGGAACCAGGAAACAGCAAATCAGTAARCCCGAGGTCTATTAAAGGCAGCTCGTTAGACCAACTAAGAAAGGCTTGAAATAACAGAGTGAGGGATAAACATGGTATAATGGGAGATTCACGTGGCTTTGGAGGGGAAGCCACCAGCCTCCAACCTATATTGCTCCTTGAGGAAACGGCTGCTGTGTACATAAGACAGTCTGGTCCGCAGAGTGCACTTGGATTTCCAAAAAGCCCTCCCAAAAGGGCTCTTAAAGAAGTTAAGCTGTCGTGGGAAGAAAAGAAAGGTCTTCACATTGGAAATATTTTCTTAGCACTCCAAAGCCTTCAAACATACAAAACAAACATTTATTACTGGACAGATGTCTGTGGAAAATGCGAGCTATTTCTAGACAACTCTTGTTTCTGTTCAGTGGTGCAAGACTGCTTTTTATTTCATGTTTCAAATATCCCTTTTCTGAAAGACACAATTACGCTTCTCTATATAATAAGAGCACAGAGATTGRAAGGACTAGAACTGAACCAGAAACTAGCTAAAGGCAAATGCAGACATGGTGCCACTATGGATGACATACCCTGGATGGCACCCAGCACAATGCAAGGGTCACCTTTGGATGGACACCACTGCCAAGACAGGTTGGGGAAAGCCACAAGGGTGACAGACAGTCCAGGCCAGCCAGAGCCATCCCCAGCCCATTTTACTCACGTTAGATGTGGCTCACGATTCCCTGGTGATGGCTACCAAAGAGGATCCTGGTGACCATGGCTCCAGGATGAAGGATTTGGGAAGCCAGGGTGCAATCTGGGTGCTGGGAAGGGACAAGTTGCATCCACGTTTTCCCATTCTTGGTATTTTCGCAGCTGTGGGAGCCTGGTCAAGGCAGACACTGCCCAGACCTGCGGGACACATCCTGCTTGGGCGCTGTGCACCATRGAGCAGATCTTCCATTGCTCTTCAGGGACTAGTGCTCTTCAGGGACCACCAAACCCTTGTCCAGCGTTGGCACTTCAGGACATGGAGATGTTGCTGTCTGCTTTTATAAACACAGTGAAATTAAGGCACACAGCCCAGTGTGGCTACCTTGCACAAAACTCACAGAAATCTGTACATAACCAAGTGACATCTGCCAGCCTGTAGTACAGGTTCCTCATGAGCTTGTTATTGAGCTCGGTGATGTCTTATTTTGAACCTTTATTTCCTGTGTTGCAACACAACCCAGTTTGCTTGATTATTAAAACTGCCAGTCTAGAGTTATGCAAGAGTCTATAGGGCATTTAATCATAGCCAAAGCACAAGTCCAGGGCATTTCCCATCAGGTCTGAATGGTGAAGCAGAAGAGAGGAAGACTGTCAGCTTTTGGGGCTCAGACTGACGGAACGCTCCTAATTCTCCCATAAAATCATCCAGGACAGAGCTCCAGGTGTCCTTAAGCAGGAAGGGGCCTGCAGAGCTGGCAATGTGCCCCAGCACAAGATTCAGGCCTACAGTGCTGTGGGGAGGCTCTCCCCATTCCAAGGTACTTGGCGTTGGGTGCCGGCGGCAAACAGGAACATGCCAGGTTGCTCAGTGTCTGCTGGACAGCTTTCCTACAGCCCGCCCGGTCCCACAGAACCGTGCTCCCCTGGGATTTCTGACACTGACTTCATTATTGAAGATTAATGAGGAAAAAACATCACTATCTTCTCCATGGCTCTTCAGCAAGGCACAAGGCCACTGGGGTTTCCCATGCGGCTCTCACGGCTGCTGCCTTTCCCATCCAGGGAGCTGTGAGAACAGGCAGCACCTCCCATTTGCTCCACACTACCACCGGGCCGGCCGTGTCCCCTTCCACATGGGACCCTCTTCAGATGGATGCAGAGGGCTGCTTCCACACTCTAGAAGATTTCTGCTCCTCAGTTACTGCAGTCACACTGAAATCAGCTGCTTGTGGCCCATCAGCAGCCCTGGACATGGTGAGGGGTGTCCCAGGGAGCCCCACAGCGAACAACCAGAGCAGGCCTGGAGCTGGAGCGAGGTCCATGGTCCATCCAGGAGCCAGAYAGGCACACCTGCAGCACAGCTCAAGAAAGAGGCAAGGCCTCAAACCTGAGCTTAAATGGAGCCCCCCAGGCCTGCAGGGTCCCAGGTGGGGCTGGTTGGGGTAATTAATGTCTGCTAGTGCCTTTGGGTCCATGCAACCAGGCTGGGTGTAAGGTCTTTCATTGCCAGTTCTGCTTCAGCAATGTCAGAAAATGCAGCAGGTCCTGCTGTGCCATGGAGCAGATCCACAGAGCAAGGCGGTTGGTGCAGAGAGCCAGCAGCCTCAGAGGCTTTGCTTTGTGCTAGCCCTTGYGGGTGCAGCAATAAGCCATGTCCCAGATGGGCCTGCTCCCCTCAGAAACCTTCACCTCTCCTGGGGCCAAGCAGCCCCAAGAGCCGTGGTAGGTCAGTGGCTGCCTAGGTTTGCACAAGCAGCTCAAGGCTCGCATTAGAGGTGTTAGTGTTCATGGCACTCTCTTCAGGGGGGATTACCTGTGAACTAGTGGCATAAAGAAAGCGTGTGACTTCTGGAGGATGGGGTCCTAACATAACATGGGAGCTTCTGGCCCCCATCCCGTTGCTCTCCCCAGCTGGAGGCAGTGATAGGGTCAACCCCAAGAGATGCCATTCCCTGGTCCTTCTCTGCCAACTCAATCCAGCATGTACTAATAATGTGTCATTAGGGACCAGCAGAGACCTCACCCTGTAATACCACTTGCCAGGACACCTGGGTCTCCTTGTGCTCAGCACTGCTGCTCTCCCCGCTGCAGAGGACAGGCTGTCACAGCAGGCTGGGAGCCAGGAAGAAAGTGTCCAGAATAACTCACTTTACCCTCCCTAATTCAATCACAGTGCTAGGAACTACTGGGCTTCAGCTGTTGGCTTTAGAGCTGGTTGGTGGCTGGTGACCCGGCGTCAGCGATGAGTCCCACCAYGGCAGGGCAGCCTGCGCCTGGCACTCCCTGGGGCTAGAGACGATCCCTGGCTCGTTTGGAGTCAAGGACACGACTGACTCGAGCCTGGAAGCCTGACACGAGCTCATCATTTCAAGCACCATGGCTTGCTGGGCACAGTCCTGCTCCTGGCTGCGAGCAGCATCGCTCCTGCGCCTCCCCGCTGCCCTTTCCTGCCCGGGCAAGGCGCCGGGTACCAGGGCTGCCCTCAGGTGCGCTCAGCTAATGCACAGCCCTGGGCAGGGGCTGAAGCAGGAGCACAGCCTGCTGCCAGCCCAGCCTGGGCACGCCGATGGACTTGCCCTGGCGCTCGCCTGGTCAAAGCCYATCCATGTGCTATGAGGATGCCTCCGTGTGGCTTTGGAATATTAAGTTTTGCACCTCCCCACAGTTCCCCTTAAAATATCCCAGAATAAGTTTTATGCAGATCCCCGATGCTCCTTCCCTGCTCACGTGGAGGTGATCCCTGGTCCGGGAGTTTCAGGGAGTGAGTTTTGCACTGGGGACGATGGGCTAACATGAGATGTGCAAGGGGCTGTGACCTGGTGGGCATCACCACAAGAGATGGCTAAGGATGGGACCCCCCAGTTCTAAAATCAAAGCAACAACCTTCTCCTAAGCACTTGGATTTTGAAGAAAGTGACATMTTTTTCTGTCACAATCCCCCAGGAATAGACATTTCTACCTGAGCCTCCTAAGTGCTGCTTTGGAGCCTGGTGTGTCAGAGGGGGGCAAGTGCCTGGGCTCCCTGGTGCTTCCCAAGCTGTGGCTCGGCCGCTGCATTTCGAGTGCCTGATCTCACCCCAGGAATTAAAAACAAGCGTTTTCCCCCCGKGTGTGTTTGAGGAGGACAAAACAAAAGCCAGAAGCCGCCTTCTCTGGGGCCAGCTGCTGTGGGCCGGCACTGCTCCCGGCGCTGGCCGCGCTCCAGCTCCCAGCCGCTATATATGCGGGAGAAGCGGGAGCGGGGCTGGCGGCAGAGCTGGAGACGCCTGTGTCCGACAGCTCCCGTGCTTTTCCTTGGAGCCGGAGGAGTCACCGCGTGCCAAGATGTGCAAGGGCTTAGCTGCGCTGCCCCACACGTGCCTGGAGAGGTGAGCGCGGGCGCCGCGGGGCTTGGGGGCCGTGGTCAGGGCAGGGGGGATTCGCAGGGCGGCAAGTCCAACGCCAGCACCCAGGGAGGCTGCAGGTCCTGAGGTCGGTGCTCTCCTGTSCCTCTTGCTGAGGGTCACTCCGTGCTGGTGAGGTGGCCGGGGGGCTTTGGTGGCAGGAGGGCTGCAAGGGCTGCTCGGGGTTGCAAGGGCAGGTGGGCAGCTCAGCATTCAGGACCCACCATCTCTGGCATCCTTATCCTTGGGGAGGCAGTGGGAAACACGCAGGCCTGTTGGTACGGGGACACCTGGGACGTCCCCAGCGATGTCCCAGGCTGGAGGCCTCGCAGCTGCCCTGCTGATCACAGCATTAGAAAGATGGAGTCTTTATGGGTTCTGTGGTTGTTGCTGTTTTTAAGGTAAAAGTGCTGGTTTTCTTTGATTTAAATGTGCTGCTGGCTAATCCTATTCCATGGATTGGTTCATGGATTCATGGATTGGAAGCTCTATGGTGAACCACATAGCCACTGCTGTTTATACCCGCCTTGATCTCAAATTTTTGATCCATTGCTGTAGCCTCCTTGCATATCTCTTTCTCACAGCAAAGAGTCCTAGATGCTTAGCTCTTTCTCGAGCACAAGCTCTTCTAGGTCTCATCTTTGTGGCCCATTTCTGAACATTTTCCTACTCTCTTATGGACTTCTGAGCTGAAGGCTTTACACCAGCGTTCTTCAAGATGTGGGTGAACCAGATTTGTTTGAGGATATAATGTTCCTCCTTGCTTTCCTCATCCTCTTTGCTTGTTCCTCATCTTTCTTCCTGCTTTCTCACACAGGATTTGGTTTTTTTTTTCAGTGCTATTGCAATGATGTTTTCAAGGCCTCTCTTGTGTACCCATGTTCTCGCTCTTGAAAAGTACCTTAGCTTAGGACATCATTTTATATAGTCCTATGGGAGATTTCCCAAGCCATCAGTCACATCAGTCCTTGAGAAATTATCATGGATAATATAGCCCCTGCTGCCTGCCCATGAGCCCCTTACCCCATGCCTATGAGACATTAAATAAGAGGGTTCAGGTYCACATTCCCATAGGAATGCTACTCATGCAGGAAAACACATCTTTTCTGCCTACCCTTTCCTTTTTAACTGCCTTTTCCTTGCTGTTTCCCACCTCGTCACCCATGAGACACCCCAATCTCCTGCAGCATTGTGGCTCTTGCTTAAGCAAGGATCTTGTCCAAGCTCCTCCGGCAACCCAAGGGCTGGTATCTCCCGCGTCTCTCCACGGCACATGCTCGGTGGCCTCTTCAGTGAGGGCCCATAGGTTTCTGAGGAATCTCCTCCCGCTGCCAAARCTATGTTGACTCTTCTCCAATATACCATATTTGTGCATGTGTCCTCCAAGGCTGTGTATTACAGTTGCAACCCGTTTGTCCGTATGGGCATCAGCCTTACAGCTTTATAGCTCCCCGAGTCTGCCCTGCAACCTCTATCCATGAGCGTCTTTGCATTCGGCACCTCCCCGAGCTCGGATACGGCAGCAGTGGTCAGAGAGGCTCTACCTGTCAGCGCCTCCATCCTCCAGGCCTCGGGTCTGCCTGGAGACCCCTGCACGTTGGGGTGACTTTTGGCCACTCTTTTGGCTACTCTTTTTATTTATTTATTTATTTTTCTCCAGGGGGAATATCCCCCAAGAATTTTCTGTAGGAAAGCAAACCAGAAGTACATAAAAAAGGCATATATATTTTTTTTAAACTACAGCTTTAACTTCTTTGAGCTCCCTTTTTTGTTTTGTTGTTAAGCTCGCTCTCCTCCCAGCCCTCCCCTGGCAGCCTTCCTGCTCTTGATGTGTTTGAAAGGGTCCATATTTTCTTTTAATGCCTTTTGGAAATTGTTTCTCAGACTTTTTCTTGGCTTGTTTGCTTATGTTTTTACACTTAACCTTCCACAGTTTATGGTCCTTTCCATTTTTTTCTCACTCGGACATAGTTTCGGGGTTGTTTTTTGAAGGAGATCTTTTTATTTATAGCTGCCTTTCCTGAAGCCTTGTCTGGAAGCTGCTAATGCATCTCCTTGAGGGCTCCGGGATGGTGTCCTTAAGGAGTTCTTGCCTCCTGCTAGCCCTGAGCCCTCACCACTGCCCCTTTGCTTCTCATTTAACAAGCCCCTGTGCAGCATCCTTTTTCACTGGGGCACCAAGGCCAAGGATTTTGGGGAGATGATGGATGTCTGGGATGCAGGTGACCCCATGGGATTCCCTGCCATAGGGCTCTCCACATCTTCAGAGGGATGGGGACCTATGGGGCACRGTGGCATCCCACACTGGAGATCTCCTGGGAAGAGGGAGCATGGGGACCTCATCACCGTCCACCAAAGAGCCCGGTCTCTCCAGGCCAGATGCAAGTTTTCTTGGAAGCGCAAGCAACGGAAATTGTCCCTGAAACCACTGACATTTACTGAGGAAAACAAGCAGCAGAGGCTGCCCTTTCCCTCCTGGAAAGCCAGAAGCAGAGGGGATGCCCTCAGAGACACTGGGATTTCCTGCGAAAGCTGCGGGGCCGGGGAAGGCACTAGCCAGGATCCGGCCCCAGGTCCCTGGATTCCCCGGCAGAGCCAGCAAGGGGGGAACCAAAACACAGAGGCAGTTTTATGGGAGGGGAGGAGAAAAAGGAATGGAAACAGAATAGCAGACATAGCAAGGCATGCAAGAACAAGCAGCTGCCAGCCAAAAAGCCAGGAGCCCTGCGGGTGCTGTTCTGCAAAAGCTGTTAACCGCGTGCAGGAACCTGCTRGAGGCTTCTCCAGCCTCCTCTCCTCCCCAGGGGACTGCAAGGAGGTCTTGCCCTGGGGGCAGGAGGGGCTCAGGGACAGCGGGGTCAGTGTCCTCCCTGCTTGACCAGCTCTTTTCATCTCCTGCGCAGGGCCAAGGAGATCAAGACCAAGTTAGGGACACTGCTCCAGAAGCCTGACTCGGCCATTGACCTCATCATCCCCTACGCGGAGAAGCCGGAGAAGCCGCCCAAAGCCCACAAGTGAGTACCCCCGCGTGACGTGGCTGCAGCTGGCCGGGGCAGGCACGGCAGTGCCTTGTGGAAGGTGGCTCGTGGCACGTTCCTCACGCCTGCGCGCGGGGCGCGCGCTCAGAGCTGCGTCACGGCCKCATGAGCGATGCCAGGCAATACAGGCTGCCAGAAACCAGATTTCTYGGGAAAACTCAATTTACATTTGATGAGATTTCACGTTCATTCGATAAAAGCTAGTCCAGAGGCGCAAGGCACTTAGATGTCTCTGAGTCACTTGCCTGGGGTCAGYGTGACGTTGCCACCGTCAGCTTTGTTCAGCCTCCTCGTGCAGAGGCAGGGTGGTGGCTTCAGGTCAGCCACGTGTCTCTGACCTCAGACACACAGCTCCCTGCACACACTGCTTTCTTCAGAGCGACTCCGTGAAGATGACATGTCCTTGCCTTGTGTTTTCATCACGATCCTCTGCTGTCCAGTGTGAGGCTGGCTTAAGAGAAGAGCAAAGCAGAGGAACAGTTGGTTTGTAGGATTAAACAATTAGACAAATAAATAAACCAGCAAACCAAATAAGCAAACTTCAGCTTAAATCTAAAAGCAGAATTCCTTCCTAGACGTAGGATGGTAGCTGAGGATTTTTCCAGCCTAGCAGCAAGCGTGGCATCTAGGCTGTCCAGATCTACCAGCACGCCAAGACATGACACAGCCCCACAAATGCAGATGGGGTCTCCTGAGGGGGCATCTGTTCCCGGCGGGAGTTKCTCCCATTCCTTCAAGTGCCCCTAGGCAGAAAGGGGTTAGGATATTCTCAAGATAACCGGTGCTACACCTATCTCCTGGTGCGGGGTGCCACCGAACCTCTCCCATGGCCCTGGAGAACACGCGGCTCCTTTGGATGCTCTTCCAGGCAGCCGTTGGACTCAGCTGGGCTACGCTTTAGGGCATCTCCTTCTCCTTGTCATTCCACAGGTTCTGGGGGTAGGAGATTTCTGTGCCAGGAGGCCAGCTGGTGCTACAGACATAAGATAAGATCATGCAGGTGAGGTTCTCTCTCAGGTGCTCTTGGGTGAGTTTCTCCAGGCAGTGCTAGTCTAAAATGATAACTCTCCAAAATAAGATTGCTAACGTAAACCAAAAGCCTGGGCTTTCAGGTAAACATGGGTGCGGGTAAACACAGAACATATGTTCAAGTAAACATAGAAAGTGGCTGCAGGATCCCCACCCAGCAAGAGCTGCCCRAGGCGGGGCATGGGGAGAGTGACCGCAGGACAGCGCATCTGGCTCCGTCACTGCCGTGGCCAAGATGTCTCTGTGAAGGAGACACATTTGTCTCCATTATTTGTCCCCGCTGAAACCAGCGGACATGCTCCCTGCCTGCTAGCCATAGGAGTTGTTTTCTCCAGAATTTTATTGTTGCTCAGCCCAGCTATCATCCATCAGCAAGCATCTCAGGCTCGGTTAATATGATCCCCAGGACATTCAGCTATGTAGTTTCCAGGAAAGCTGGATTCTTGGATTGTATCAAGCCACTGTGGTGAAGTGCTTTTCCTCAAGCTCACCTGGAGCCGGTGCCTGGGGAAGAGGAAGAGCGGGCCAAGCAGAATGGATAATCACCACGAATATGGAACATGCTCCCTGTTTTCTGACCTGGMAATGGAGGCTCCTGGCTCAGGTGCTGTGAGGAAGATGGAGAAGAGCTGCTCTTCTGCTGCTCTAAGTAGGAGGCACCAYTCATGGTTTCCAGCCTCTGAAGGCCATGCCTGGCTTGGKCAGGACAACGTTCTCTGACAGAAAACTCTGGTGCACAGCGCCTAGAAAGCGCTCGCGGGGAGGATGGAAGCAGTGTCCTGTCCTGCGTGGGATGTGGGAATGAGGCCACCAGGCCATGGGAGTGGAGCGGAGCTGACCCCAGCCGTGGCCCTGAGGAGACACAGCCAAAACCCTCCTGTCCTCCTTCCCGCTGAGCCGGGAGCCCGTGTCCTGATGGGGACAGGCTGCTCGGGCCACTCGGGAGACTGCTGAGGGGTCAGAGATGGGAGGTGCTCATCCCGTCACTGTGACACCGGCCGTGATGGGAGGCTTGGGGACACTCCCCTGATACAAAATGCCAGTGAAAACCAAGGATCGAGTGAGGGCAGCACAGCGAGTCCCACTGCAACCTAGGAGAGGGTGCCCAGAGGCGTCCTGCCCTCCAGATGTGCACAGATGTGGGGCAGGAGCGTGGTGTGTGGCCGTGCCTCTGCCGCTAATGACAGAGGAGGTCCTTTTGAGAGTGATTCTTGTCTCTGCTCACAATCCCTCCTCAACGTCCTGTGGGAATTTGCAGGCATTACCTCCTAGACCTCACCTATCTATCAAGAGAATAAATAGAATCGACCAATTTTTCCTCTCCTCCCCTCAGGCCGTCRCCGGAGGAGGCTTTGCAGTGGCGCGACTCCCTCGAGAAGCTCCTGCAAAACACCTGTAAGTTCATGTCCTGCCCGGCGGCTCCTCCGCCTCGGTGGGCCATTTCTCCCCCTTCCAAGACTAGTTTCAGGGACAGCAGGACCCCAGGGGTGTTGGGGCTGCAGGTGCTGGYGGAGGGATGAGCTGGCCCGGGGAAAGCCCTTCCACACCAACCCTCGGGGACAGGGACACAGGCACCCCACACCTGGGCYGGCGTCCGTGTCCAGCTGGGCCGGCTCCCTGCCCATGTCCACGCTCCCTGCAGACGGGCTCGCCAGCTTCAGCAGCTTCCTGCGCTCCGAGTTCAGCGAGGAGAACATCGAGTTCTGGGTGGCCTGTGARGACTACAAGAGAACTAAGTCTCCTGTGAAGATGGCGGAGAAAGCCAAGAAGATCTACGAGGAGTTCATCCAGACCGAGGCCCCCAAGGAGGTCAGTGCTCCCGGCCTRGGTTCCCCCAATGTGCCTGACTGCAGTCATGGATTTGTCCCCCCAAATAAGCCAGGCAGGTTCACTGGCTCCCTGTAACCCCAACCTGGTTGTTGGTGGGAGAAGGGCTGGGCAGATGCCCATCTCCTCCRCTCTGGACAGGCAGAGTAACCATCACACGTGCACTCCGGTCACAGGTGAACATCGACCACTTCACCAAAGCCGTGACCATGAAGAACCTGGTGGAGCCGTCAGCCAGCAGCTTTGACATGGCCCAGAAGAGGATCTTTGCCCTCATGGAAAAGGACTCCCTGCCCAGATTCGTGCGCTCGGAGATTTATCAGGAGCTGGTCAAGTAGCAACAGGGCCAGGCTAGGCGAGGCCCCCCAAAAGGCCAMCCCACCGCTTCCCTCCTACCCCATCCTCTGCTCCTCACTGCTTTGCTTTCCTGTGCCACCCCTTAGAGCATCCAGGAGCGCTGCTGAACACCCCTCCCAGGGCTTTGGACTCCCCCATAGAGATCCCTCCCTTGTAGCCTCTGTCCTTTCTCATCAAAGGAGATGAATTAGCAGAACCACCTGGTGAACATCCCCCAGCTTTAGGTGGTGGCTCTGGAAGCAGCTGRGCAGCCCGCAGTGGCTCAGCCCCATCTGAGCGGTGCTGGGGGGTCCTGAGGCTGAGATTTCCCCCGGGCAATATCCCTGCCTGCTCCTCCATCTGCTTCCCCCCAGCACAAGCGGCTCACGATGCTTCTTGCCCTCTTTCTGCCAGGTTTGCCCGTGCTGCTGGTTTGGCTCCAGCAGCTTTTCTGGGATGCCAGAGCCATGTCCAGGCACAGATCCAAACAGGGCCATGGATGAGATGGGGGAGTGAAACTGTGCTGGGGGGAAGAGGGTGGGAAGGCTGCTGACTGGAAGCATCCCAATCCAGTTCCAAACAGAAAAAGGAAAAAAAAAAGAAAAGAGTTGAAATATGAAAAACAACCGCCCGTCTGCTGGAAGAGATGGCAAACTCTGCTGGGCTGGTGGAGCTGCTCCTCTCTGCAAGCTCCTCCAGGCTGCCCAGGACTCAGACTAGCTAAGGGCATTTATTTAGCTAAGAGCAAGACCAGTCCTTGGAGAATGCTCAGATCCAGCCCGCTCTGCCCACTGAAGGTGCCACCTCTGCCTGCGGGCTGGAAGAGAGCGCGGGGTCTCCTTGCAGTCCCAGCTGGCGAGTGCTCCAATGGGAGCGCCGAGAATCCCTGTGCTCTGAGCACGGAGTCGCTGGGATGAGCTGCCGGACCATGTGTGTGTGCCCCGGTGCAGCCAGCAGGCAAACATATATCCAAGATATATGTGCCTGTGCTTGCAGGAGGCAGCTGAGGCCAGCAAGCCACCCGCAGGCTGCAGTCTGCAAGCTACAAATCATGAGCCCCGGCCCAAGAGGCAACAGCATAAATAGCGGCTTTGCCAACTTCTTCAAGACTCAAAAAATCCCATCAAAACCCCAGCATCCCCAAATATTTACATGCTGTCGCCACGGGGATGAATAAAAATACATCCCCGGCTGCAGGAAGCGCTTTCCAGCAGGGCTGGGGAGGCAGGAGGGAAGACGAAGGTGACTCCGTCCAGTGCCCGCTGTGAAGGGCTTCATTTCCCCTCTGAACGGACTGGGAAAGCGGGCGGCTGAGCGGGCGCTCGCTGGGCATCTCCGGTGGTGAGCATAGGCTCTTACACCGGCAAGAAAGCGCCGCTGCAGCCTGCAAACGGCCCGGGCTGCTGTGCGATGGGCAGGAGCTGGGCTGGGTGTAATGCGGGTCCCCCCGTGCCCCAAGGCCACCTGCCCGTGGCCTGTGTCGCCGCCCCCGCGTCTCCACGCAGCGCTGCCACCAAAGCCTGGCTTCAGCGTCTTCGCGCTCCCCCTGCTCGCAGAAATGCAAAACCCAAGCAGCTTCCTTGCAGACCACTCCTCTATGTCCCTTTTACTTAGCAGTGCAGTATACATTTCAGTTACTCTCATCCGTGTCACCATTAATGCCAGTGCCAGTCCTGTAGAGAGCCAGTACCGAGCCAAAGAAGTCCTTCACGGAAGGGCGAACTGCTGTGTGAGGGTGTCACGAGGTGCAAGGGCGCCGCGCAGGGCGGAGAGGAAGCGTCTGGCTACGTAGGTGTCCAAAAGGGAGAGGGGGAGAGGTGGGAGAGCTGCCRAGGCGGGCGCTGGGCACGAGGGCTGGCGGGTGGGACGAGCGCGCGGCTCCGCRGGAGCTTGTCCAGGTTTGGAGCTCATCCGGGTTTGGAGCAGCGCCCGGCGCGGTTGGGATCCCTCCAGGCCCTGCTGCGGCTCGTGCGCGGCCGCAGAGGCRCGCGGGCAGCGTGGGTGCCCGGCCCTGCCGCGGGGCTCTCCGAGGGCGCTGCGGGGCGAGTCAATACCGACGATCACAGGCAGGGCAGTTGTGTGTTTTTCCACTCTTGCTGTTATCAAGTTAGRCACATTTATGAGCACCGTATGCATACTGATACGTATCTATACCATATAGAGGTACATGAGCACACACACATACATACCCACTCCTACTGTCAGCACCTTGATGTCCACAGAATCGTTGGTCCAAGTGCAGAGCAGGGGATGGGGCTTCAGCTCCGCTGCAGAGACAAGCCTGTATGGATTTGGCACGTGCCCCTCGGCCTCCCCTGCACGAACATGAGCGTGCTCCTCCCCACAGGCCCCTGCAAACCACCTGGGCGCCCCTGGCCCGTGCTCTGCAGAGCCGCGGGTGCAGACCATGGGGCTGTGCCCCGCTGCCGTGGGGCAAGGCAACCCCACGCTGCAGCACGGCTGCTGCCCGGGGCCACGGGGMCACCCCCTTGCCACGCGGGCTTTACTTGCTCGGTGATACCCGCTAATTCAGTGACTCCCATCTCCCCTCTGGGAGCAAGTCCAAGCACTCGCCCAGACCCTGCCCCGCACCTTGGCCACGCACTGACGCCTCCTGCCTGGAGGATGCCGACTGCTGTGGCCAAGGACCGGGCCACAGTCACCTCGGGATCCGGCACCCTACGCACCTGGGCCATTAGATTTGAGTCTGAAGTTSCCCCACTGGATGTCCACCAGAGAGAACTCCATTGCATGGTGAAGACAGAGGACATTGGGGTGCACTGAGGAACGGGTTGTGTTGTTAATTCATATTCCTGTACCACTCAGTAACTGATATAATAAACATATTCCCACTACTACGGTGCCGGACTATTCATTTATTTTGTCTCTTTGCAGTAAGGTGCGACCGCTCTTCCCTGCCGTGGGGGCCTGAGCCAGAGCCCTCCCTGGTCCCTCTGCAGCCAAGAGCAGCCCGTGGCTGCTCCTAAACGAGCTGCTCCTAAAACGAGCTCCCGGCTGGAGCCCTGGCCAGGGAAACACCCTGCTAGGCAAGGGCCAAGGCTTCCCTGTGGGAACGGGGCTCACGGCACCGCTCTGGGGCTGGGGCTGCAGCCCAGAGCCCTCCACCCAATACAACCAAAACTGAGAGATCGGAAATAACCAACAGCAACGGGGTTTCCTAGCGAGCAAATAGTGGCTCTTCCACCCTTCCATGATTTTAAACAACCGTGGCGTGACACCATGTATAAAATCACTTTTTAAAGTAACCTGGGTCAGAGAGTTATACCGTGCACAGTCTTTGGTTCACAGAACAACATTTTAGAAGGGACTAATGCAAATACCTTTTATTTAGAATGCATTCATTCTTATTTATTATTATTATTCTTATTAAATATCAATACATTTTTTTTCAAGAGTTACCAGGAGTCCAGGGTACCAGGGGAAAATAAAACACAGCCACGTGCTTGGCAAGGTCGGAGCTGACCGAGATCCTTAGCAAGCCTCTCTGCTGCCTAGCTCAACATGCATGCTGGTATGCTTCAGTATGAGCTAATAAACACAAAACAAAGCAAGGACTAAAGGAGATGTTTCTCTGTGGGCCTGGAAGTTCCTACTTTGAAAACTACAACCTTCTCCTGCCACAACAAAACCCCGGTGTGAGAAGCGTTGTCCAGACTGGGATGCAGAGTGAGGAACACTTGGTTGTCAGAGCAGCTCTATCCAAGCCAAGGAAGGGGGACGTGCTGGGGAGAGCAGGAGCTGCTGCTTTGCCCAGAGCAGAGTTGCTCCCTGGAAGTGCCTGGCACCTCCAGGCCACACGGCAAGCCCGGCACTTGCTCCTTCTGCCTCCAAGTGTGGGTCACAGTCAGGTCCCAAAGCCCCTGAGCCAAAGCCCCATCTAACCACAGTGATTAAAGAATAGACTGCCCTCTGGCAGAGTAGCAGGAAGGAGACTGGCACGTTTCTCTTACCTTCTGCAGCGAAAAGAAAAAAAGAGTAACACTACTACTGAATTACAGACTCACATAAAAACACTCAGGATCAGTATTTCCAAGCATGGCCCCTTCTTAGTTGCTGTGGTAGTGATTCCATCCCAATCAAATAACCTAAGAAAGATCCCTGACTGGCATAAATTAGATTAAATAGGGGGAAAAGCTGCCATGGAGCAGGGCTTTCCTACAGCTTGGGCTGTGAGGACAGAGGGAAGCTGTCTGCTCGCCTAGGAATTTTTGGTGTCCCTTATAGACAGGGCAGAGCTGTTAAGTCTGACCAGTATAACACAACACAGCTCAATTTCTGAGCAAATACTACTGAAAGCCTGGGAATTTGGGAGCTATATGAACAGCTAAGGTCCAGAGAAAGTCCCAAAGCTCGTGCTGATCATAAAGGGGCAGATCACAGTCCCCAACGCTTCCCTTGCCTTCCTCTTTCCTCTGCTCCTTTCTAGGTGTCTCATGGCCACACTGCACGTCTGGACCCTTCGCAGCTGGTGCTAGGTCTGAGTTTTGCACCTCTTCCCGACAGCACCAGCCCACCYGGGCTCGTGAGGCACATCAAACACACAGCAGACATGCGGTGATTTCACCCAGCTTTCATGTCCAACAGACTCCAGGGCTCCCACACAGATGGAGTCACAGGAGGGTTTGCTACACAACCTGAGCCTGGCTGGGGTTACAAATGCTGCTTGTTGCACGACATGGGACACAACTGGGATATTAGACAGCTACTGGAGACAGCTCTGCTGCTTCATGCCAATGAATGCTTTTGCTGCCGTATACTCCTGCAAGAGCCCTGCCTGCCCCGGGCGCGCTGCAGGTTCAGGCACACTGGGAGATGATGTTAGAGTTGCAGTCTAAGTTGTGAGCACGGGTTCTTTTGCAGCTTTCAGGCCCACAGCCAGCAGCAGGTGGGCTCACCAAGTCCAGGTAGAAGTGGGACTTGAGGAAGCGGCGGTAAGAATCCTTCTCCATGAGGGTGAATATTTTTCTCTGAGCCTCATCAAAGCAGGACAGCGTAGGCTCCAGCATGTTCTGGCTCGTCTTTTCCCGTGTGCACGAATCCAGGTTCACCTGCAGGCCAGAAGGACAGCATAAACAGCATTGCCCCACAAGCAGTTAGCATAAGGAAGGGAGAATCCAAGTGTTTTCCCACAACGGGTGCTCAGGCTCTCCTTGAGGTGCAGTGGTGGTCAGAAATGGCCATTTAACACTGTGCAGTCTTGGCAGAATCCGTGCAGCCAGCTGCCAGGGACAGGCACGTGCTTTGGGGTGCAGTCAGCCAATGAACTTAGGTAATTGCATGGGAGCAGCAAGAACAGTGGGGAATCTTCTTCCTCTAGGGTTTCTCCCAGTTCAGTACATGAGATAGTCACRTGGTCATTACCCAAACTCCCTTCTGTCCGAGTTTAATTTTAAAACAATGAAAATGGCATAATTCCCTTGCTAATGGTAAGAGGAGCAGCTCCCTTCAACTCTTAAAAACCTACCAAACCCTTATTTTCCCTGTATTTCTCACCTGGTTCAGGGTGACATGTGCCCAAGAACCTTCTCTATGAGATGGTGCACGTACCTCTTTTGTTGCCTGCACAGAGATGAACTCATTGTAGATCTTTCTGGCCTTGGGGCTGAGCTTTGCTGGTGACTTGGTTTTCTTGTAGTCCTCACAACTGACCCAGAACTCAATGTTTTCCTCGCTGTACTCGGACTTGAGAAAAGCCCGGAAAGCAGCCAGTCCTCCTGCAGATTGTTCAGAGGGAAACAGGAGCAAGTCAGACTGGTGCTCCCCAAGACTGGAAGTGCCTTTGAACTCCAACACCTCAGCAAAGAGCAGTGCTGGTTGTCCCTTCGGGAGCAGAACAAGCAGCTCCTCCTGGCTGCCTCCTTGCTCATGGGGGCTGAGGGAAGCTGGATTTCAGAGGGGATCCCAAGGGAAGTCATGCGTGGGTCCTCAGCTGCCTGCTCCCACACAGCGACCTTCAGTGTCATGGCCAGGACAACACATGCAAATCATGTGTCCCCAGGAGGCCCTGGAGAGACAACTAACGTGCTGGGCCATGGGAACGGCATGAAGGAAACCTCAAGGACGCAAGCGATGGGAAGACGAAGTCTCCCATGCCGTCAGCTGGAAACAACATCTCCACTCTCYGTGTGTTGTTTAACCTGCTGGGCGCTGAGGTCCTGGCCCTCTGGAGAGCAGCTCGCACAAGGACTCCATGGAGGCCCTTGGGGAGGCGGGAGGGAGGAAGCGCGGCCTGGTGCGAGCAGGGAAGGGGAGGCAGCCTGGCCTGCCCCGAGGGGCCGCGCGCTGCCGCCAGCCGCGCAGCCCCGCACGTCGCTCAGGGCTCCTCTCCCCTCGCGCGCACAGAGAAACGAGACACGCGAGGGGCAGCAGATCATCAGCTGAAGCTCTGACCTATCTCTTGCTAGCAGGCCAGAGAAGAGCACAGGAGCCTGTGGAGCTGCCCCACACAGCCTTGGCTAGAGGGTCATTTTCTAACTGGAATTGTCCTAATTCCTTGAAGCAACAGCTTAGTGGTAGATTGGGGCCCCATACACAATATTCTGTGGTTACTCCTTGGATCAGACAAGCTCCACCATCCCTTCCCATGGCCTGGGTGACCAGGAGCTCCTGTGTGTTGCCAGGAGACAGATGTCTTGTTGCCAAGAAGTCATGTCTAATGCTACCTCCRGGGACTGCTCAGCCACCCGCTCCCCGACAACACCTCCAGCAGAAGGGCCCGCTCTACTTACTGTCATGATGGATCAAGTTTTCCAAAGAGTCTGCCCATTTTTTGACTTCCTCTTGGCTAACCCTAAAAGAAGACAAAGGGAGATATATAGAGAAGGTTTAAAGGGAACATAGAAAGGACAGATTGATTTTTTTGTGTTGAGCACCCTTACTAAGTCATTTCCATGATTGTTCATACACATGAGACCAAGGAGGAAATGCCTGCCTGGTTTGAAGAGGACCTCATGGGGTCCCAGAGCTTATCTACAGAAATTCCAGTTTGCATTCCCAGTTACCAGCTGGGGGCTGGAAGGAGATTTTCCTGGAAAAACAGTTGGGAACTTTGTCGGCTGACCGTGTCTTTCCTTGGGGTATGGAGCTCTTGCAGGTCATGTTAGCAAGCTCCAAAGGGTCTGATTTATTTAATCTGTCAGAACAGCACTGGTTACAGAGAACAGGGAGGAACTACCATATACCACATCTGCACACCCTGAATTCATCCGTCTACCATGAGGAGGTGCCACCACGGTAAGGTGGCATCCCAAGGCTCATGTGTTTCAGCTGTGTGTTTGGCCTCTGCAGTTCTCCTTGGAGAGAAGAACATCTGCTTGCAGCACAGCGAGAGCAGCGATAACTCGATGAGCTGCTCTTTTTTTTTTGGTTTTGGGATGGCCTCGTTCCCCTGTGCAGGAGACTGCACAAATCTTTCCATATGCACATGTTCTGAATCACAAGAATATCGGTGGGAGTCTCTAGGCCAACGGTCTTCCTGGAAAAGGGCCATCTTCAATACTTGAGAATTACTGCCCACACTAGAGCCAAACACCCAGGCTTTCAGCACATGCTGGGAAGCTGCAGCAACGCTCCGAAAGTTCAGCTCACTGGAGGAAGGAGCCAGCAAGCACACTGCAGCTGGCCTGCACCTAACTACACAGCCACGTTTGCTCTTACCGCTGAGCAGGGGGGCTTTTCTCCTTCTTGCCCTGGGAAGAGCTGTGGTCACAGGAATCTGACTTCTGCAGCAGGAAGCCCAGGCGATGTTTCATGTCTTTGGCACTGCAATAAAAACAATTCAAGAATTAAATGGAGATTAAGTGTTGTAACTCCCTTGGCAGCCTCTTCACTCACTTTCAGAGAGACTCATTGACACCAATGCAGCTCACACTTAGTGATACCAGTGCTGACATCTCACTCCTCTGTCTGAATTCCTGTTACAAAGCCAGCACTGTGGTCAAATAAAAGCCATTCTTCACTCTCAACAGCTCAGGCTTCTTGCTGAGAAGGTCCTCAGCCTGAGGGAAGCGATGGCAGAGGGCGAGGAGCTCCAGTAGTCCTGCTGTTTGGTACCACTAAAAGAGTGCAAAAGGCAGGTGCTGACGTTCTGTAGGTGTGATGTGTCTCTCAATGCCTGGTTCTCATACGCTCATCATCCATCCCTCCTGTCCCTGCCTCCTCCCCACCTCTTCACCAGCCTGCAGCAACAACCAGGCCTTGCAGCACTGAGGCAGAGGGAAGGAAGCAGTGCGTTAGGAGCAGGACTGTGTGGCGAGATCAGGCGAGGAGCCCGCATCTGCCCAACATCCAGCTCGCACTGACCACACGTTACCCTTTCCTCCACGCAGGCTCGTAGGAGGATGCACATTTACTTCTGCTCTGCTTTRCAGCACGACCAGGCCAAGTGCTGACTGGCCGTACAATATAAATATGCAACTGGCAGTGCTCTCAGCACCCCCGGGGCTTCGTTTTCCATTTAAGATCGGTGGTGGCAGCTAATCCCTCCTGCTTGCTGAGAGGTGTGTGCCCGGGATGTGCTGCAGGGCAGCGCCTAGAACAACCTGAGCAGACTCAGACTCTCTCACTGAACTGAGAGCAAAGGAGCTTCTCTCAGGCAAAGCTCTTGCGAGCAGGGCAAAGCTGGGCCCCAAGCCGGCAGAAACAGGGTGCTGGGGAGGCGCGAGCTCTGCGGTGCTGGCAACAAATCCGCGCTGCTCCGCGAGGAAGCGAGACACTGCCACTGCGAGTGGCTGCTGCAGTTTTCRGAGACACGGGGAACCCTAGGGGTGCCTGCACAGAGCTTAAAAATGGCAATTTGAGGATTTTTTAAATATCTATTTTTTTTTAAACTATCAAAGTTTTCTGCAAATTTGGGGTGGGGGGAAAGGGGTGGTACTTTTTCCACTGCTGTTTCTAAGTCACCACAAGCAGGAAATCTTCCCTGAGGYGAGAGCACGCCAAGGTGTCCCCTGACCCTGCAGCAGCGCCGCACAGGGAGAGCCCAACCCGAGCCTGGACCCCAGGGCCTGCCGGGTGCAGCCGGAGCCCACGGCAGCCCAGCAACTTGCTAGGCTCAGCCCCTGCTCCAGGGCTGGCATTGGGGCAGTAACCCTCCACTTGAGTGACACGTCCACCTTGCATCCCCCTCCAAACGGAGAAAAGGCAATTGCCTCTGGCCGCTGGAAAAAAAGAGGGGGAGGCGGAGGGGGAGACAAAGAAGGGGAGTGCAGAGACTGCGGCAGCAGGCAGAATATCAAAATACAGCAGTGCTGAAAGCAGCATTTTTTGCCAGTTCTAATGGTGGGCTTAGCATTACCAGAGCTCAGAACAAAACCTTCATGCAATTCTGTTTCTGACTAATAGGAAAATAATAAGAAGTCCAAATAATTTAMAAAAGCCCCGAAACAAACCATTTGTATCTAACCTTACAGAGGAATCAGAGGCAAAGCTGCCTGCTTCACACACAAAGCAGCCCACCAGCACATCTCGAGTCTCACGCCCCACAACAGATGCTCTGAAATAAGCAGTACCTTTTCAAGCACGTGGCTGGCAGCGCAGCAAGTCCCTTGCACATCTTGCTCCCAAGGTCAGCGCTGTATTCCAAGAAAAAAATAAAAGCAGGAGGCTGCGTGCGGGTCCTTTGCCGGCTGCAGATCCAGTCTCTTCTCCAAGACAGCTGCGCTTGGCTCTGTTTTATAGCGCAGCGCAGCCAGCCCCGCAGCAGCTGTGACCCAGTCAGGAGGCAGTTCTGCTGCAGCACCCATCCCCTTTTTGCCCACCCCGGAGGAAGCTGGTGACGTCTAAGGCAAGACAAAGCACCRAGGGGGACTGAAACCTTCCCGGAGGTGAAGCTCGCTGGCTGCCTGCACGGGAGGATCTATCCAGGGGGCAGAAAAAGCCCCCGAGACATTCCTGTACTACTGAGCTTGGGAGGGTGCATGCACAAAGGGGATTTGGGGGGGCAAAGATAGCGAAAAGGGTCAGAGAAGCAATCTGGAAAGTGAGATGAGCTTTGCAGGTTTTTTTCCTCACCCGTTTTCGCCTGCTATTTAAAGCAGTCTGGAAAAAAGAAATAACACCCAAGAAACTAGGATTTTAAACACAAAAGGCTGCCATAATGCCAACAAAGGCAGAAAGGAGAGCTCCAAGGAAACAAGAATGGAAAATCCCCAGGCAGAGGAGCTTGTCCACGTTTATTTTAGAGCCGTGGGGATACGAACCCGTGGTGGTGATGCTGAAAGCGCGGCTCTGCGGAGCAGGTCAGCGCTCTGCGGGGCAGAGCACCAGGACACACGTGTGTCGGCACATCCCAGCACACCTGCATGTGAGGGCTGTGCAGGGACACGTGTAGGAAAGTGGATGGACAGGAGGCTGAGAACGTGGCTGCTCTGCATGTGCTGGTATCACTGCAATACTTTACTTCACCATTTGCATTTGCCTCTACTCAAGCCCCACAGCCTTGGCATTCAGACATACCGGTCCCTAATGGGAGATCRTTTATTAAAAGCACATCCAAAACTGTGCCTGCTCCAGGAGGATCACTGGCAGTTCCGAGCCTGCTGTGCACTGAAGGACACCGGTTACCTGGGCAGGTGCTTTGCTGCTGTGCTGGGAATGGGAAGGGTCCAAGGAGGCCTTGCTGCCCTTGCCTCCATGGGGAAGGATGCAGTGGAGTCTTAGCCCTCTGAAAATAGCATGTGGGCCCAGATCTTGTCCATCGGGTCCGTAGATCTTGGGCATCATCCTCCCTCCTTCTCCACAGGGGTATCCATCAGGAGGACGTGGCAGCCTTAAGGGCAGGCAGGGAGGGCTCCTGGCCCCACAGGCTTGGCCCTGGAGGGGACAATCCATGTTGCTCACCATGCTGCTGCCCCATGCAGGGAGAAGATCCCAAGTAACTCCCAACTTTCCCACTGGCCACAGCATTTCGTGCCACTCTGCTGGGCCGGTACGATTTTATAGGCCTTTAAACATTGCTTCAGCCTTAAAATAACACCTAACCAGAGGACAAAAACACCTAAGGAGCATTTAAGTACACGCCAGGAAATTATTCACTGTGGCCTAGGAGATCCAGCCTGAGACAAGGGCCTAAAACAAAGCGCTCTCTCTTATCAGCACTGCTAACTGCAGCCCTGCACGTCCTCACCCGCAAGCAGCTGTGCGAGGAGGCAGGGAGCACAGGGGATGCTGCTCCTGTGGTCATTGCCCACAGTCAAGCTCCCCGAGGCTGTCACCCTCCTGCCTTGGTCCCTGCCCCTCTCTGAGCTRTGGGGTGCACCCCGGCATGAGGGAGGTGGCTGCGTTGTGTGGCTGGAGATGGAGAAGGGCAGGATGTGGGAGCTGCGAGGATGTGCAGCTGAGACGGCCTCTCCTGTCACGAGCTCCTCCCCAGGTCCATCTTGCTCACAGAGACCTGTTCCTCTCGCTCCCACTGTGCCTTGTCTGTGCTTTGGGACCAGCCCAGCAAAATAGCCAGGTGTGCAGGCGACCTGCTGCAAAGAGGGGCCCCTGGGACTGGGCTGAGCTGCCTGGCTTATTGCCCCTTCTCCCCTGCCCCAACGCTTTCCATAAAAGCCCTTGCATCCCTTCTCCCTTTCTCACACAAGTCCTGTGCCAAAGGAACATGCAGGGGAGGTAAGATTCCCTTCAGGTGATAAGGACTGCCACCTTGGCTGAATTACTGCTAGGGAGCCCTTGATGGATGGCGCTCAGCAAGAGCCTGAAACCAGCCCAGCAAGAGCCTGAAATCAGCTCGGCAAGAGCCTTAAACCAGCCCAGCAAAAGCCTGAGCCCGACCCTGCATGCAGCCCCGCTTCCTCTCCCAGAGCACTCGCTGTGACCTCCCTAAGACACACGGACAAGCCAAGTTTGTCTCCGTAGGCTCCTTAGCCAATGTCAGGATTCCCAGAAATGGTGTCCCACAGCACAGCCGGAGGAAATTCTTCTTTCCCATGTCTCTGCAATGCACAGCCTGGCTTCATGCATGACCAAAGTCATGGCCTGCACCCCCATGGCCTTCCAACCCAATCCAAAGACGCAGCCTTTTAGGAAAGAACAYGTCTTCGTGACTTAGTCCTGGCCAAAGGACTGACTCACTAGTCTGGCATGCAGTAAATTTGCTGCTCACAACGTTTTGCAAGTGGAGACACCTCTGGACTCACCCAGGCACCTTTTGCTTCTCTTGACTGCGCTAAAGAGGAACATCGCAAGGCAGGGCTGGTTTTCCCTGCTTTGGCTCATTCTTGTAGTTTCTTGCTGAACCTGCTCCTCTCTGCAGAAGGCAGCAGATTCTAGGAACATGTTCTCACAATTCACAGTCAAATATCACACAATTTTCCTATCAGTCTCAGGTGTTTTCCATTTATACACACACCTGCAACAGCAGCAGTTTTCCATAGTTTCTAAGTGCTTGGGAGTTCCTGCTCAGTTTTCTTTCTGAAGGATCAAGACTTTTGTTTGGCCCATAAAGGACTTCTCTCCTGGTTTGGGTTTGCTAATGAAAAATGATTATTACTGTTCTAGTTCCTAGAGTCTCAAACAATAGAAAAAGACACAATTTGTGCAATTTTCTTTCCAAATTCCCAAATCTCTCCCTCATCAGCCGTCTTGATTAACAGCCCCTTAGACACCTAATCTTCATCACTACAGAAGTTCTGAATAACGCTAGACAGCAAATCAGGCCAAGATATGTCTCTACACTGATATTTTACCTAGGCTTAAAAACATTCTTAAATCTCCTGCTTAGCCAGTTTAAGTCCATTTAATATGGATTTTAGGATACTTTTGTCCAAATATTGATAGCAAATCATATTCACTTAGAAACGTATTTCACACAACCTCAATTTTTATGAGGTAGTCTTCAAAAAAAAAAAAAAAAAAAACCACCATTAAGCTCATTAAATAAAGCCTATTTTTCCACTAGACCATATTAGCTGGCATCAATTGTATCAGCACTGCTGCAATGAGTCTGCTATCGTCTGCACTAACAGTGCTGCTAGAGCAACCAAAAGGTTAATAGTGCTGAGATTTTATGGCTTACCCCTTCTTACGGTACGGCTCTCCTGGGATTCTCCTTTTATTTTACCTAAAATGTTAAAAATTACTAACCTTGTATCAAGAGCCTTTTAGTCTATTCCTACAGGAACCTTCTTGCAAGCCAGTTGAACTTGCTTGATATTAAAAACCATGTAAGGTATTTGGACAAAATCTCAAGTGTGCCCCAGGCAGTGGCACACTTGCTGTGGTCCTTACGAGGGGACACCAAGCAGCASTCGTAGGGGATGTCCCAGCTCTGCCCACAGCTCCACTGGAGGTGCTGGGCCTCCCCTATTGCTCSTTTTATTCCCCAAATGTGTCTGTGTGGAGGAAAGCAGCAGCTTTTGTCCTGTTTGTGCATGAGCAGCCCCTCCTCGGGTGCACATCTGGGCTGAAGCAGAGCTGCTGGGACAGGCTGCAGCACTCAGGCTCTCCGGAAACGCACTTGGGCTCACAGCAAAGAGTTGTACCTTGATAGTAATCAGATCTAAGCATTTCCACTCCATGTTTTGGCCTGGCGTGCGGTGCGATAGGAAGCCAGCTGCTGCTCGTGTAAACACCCCACTCTGTTCCCTCACCTSCTTTGCAAGCTGCTTGCACTTAATACTTGAAGGTTACGTAGAAACCCCTGTGCAGATGGGAACAGCGGTGGGTGAAGGTGGAACACCTCAGCCTGGCCYCTCCGGGCCCATTACCACATTAGCTAAAAGACGCAGGGCTTTGTGCACACCCCACTCGTGAGCCGATTGCTTCACCCAAATGTGCCATAAGGTACAAAGGGAGGAGGAGGCACCCGGGGAGGCAGAGGGTTGATGCGTCAGACACTAAGAGCATCAGCTCCTGCATGCAGAGCGTACAGCTGAAAGGCTCCTCGCTCCCTCTGCGCCTTAGCCGCCCACCTGAGCGGTGACTTCTTTTTCTGTGCCTTCAAAGAGCACAACTTTTGGAGGAGACTGAAGAATCTTCTTTCTAGACAGCTGCTGGAGGACATGTAGGTACATGGCGCAAGGTTAAATCTCTTGTAGCTGCAGATCTAAGGAGATAAAAGTGCTATCTATGCCTTAGGTTTTGAAARCGTTCCTCCCTCCTCTGCTTTTATGAGCGGCCACACCAGAAAGGGCCACGCCAGGGAGCTGAGGCTCCAGGTTTGTTCAGGCTGCAAAGCCCAGGGGACACTTTGTCACTGGGCTCAGTCTCCTAGGCGCCTTGCTACTGCTCTGGCCACAGTCTAGTAGTTTAATTCTCTAAGCCTGTTTACAAAGGGCAGCCTGGAAGCCGCAAGCCTCTGTCAACGTCTGCCTCCAGGGCATGGCTGCTGTTTAAAAGGTGATGCCTGACAGGTCTGTGGCTTACAGAGCATCGTGATTGCAGGCTAGAGAACGGCAAGAGCAAGGACAAGCACCTGCAGCAAGCAGACAGCAACCACTCAAAAGGAGCTTGTGGTGCCAGCCTCCTAAATACAAGGGCAGAGCTCACCTGGGGTAGAAGTAAATGCCCTTGATGTGGCCCTAACTGGGCTGGCAGTTGGACCAAGCCCGGGTATTCGATGGATCCATCAGCCCTGATGTGTCCCTCTCCTAGACTGGGGGACAGGTAGTTTAGAAATCATCTAAATGAAGCAGTAAAATAAAACTGCACTGAAAA